TGCTTGTGAGCCACCATACTGGTGCTGGGAACTGAACATAGGTGCTCTCCAAGAGCAATAAGTGCTTTTAACTACTGGGCCACCGCTCCAGCTCCCCTCCTCTTAAAAAAGTATATTTGTTTGTTTAAAATATGTTTGTTTGTTTTTTAGGTGTGTGTGTGACAAACATATACAAGCATAGCATACCTGTGGAAATCAGTCCTTCCTTCTACCATGTGGGCTCTGGGGACTGAAGTCAGGTTGTTGGACTTGTTGGCCAACACCTTTATCCACAGAGCCATCTCTCAGCCCCTGTTTTTTGTTTTGTTTTGTTTTGTTTTACGACAGGGACTCAAGTAGCCCAGCTACTCACTGTGTAGCTGAGGGTGAATTTGAACTTTTGGCTCTCCTTTCCTCCTTCCCTCCTTTCCTGCCTTCCCCCCTCTTGAGTGCTAGAGTTATAGCTATTGGCACCTGATTTTAATTTTGGACTTTCTGATTATTCCAGGTATGAGGAACCCAACAGGTCTTGTGATTGACATTGAAAAGATGATTTGCTATTCTATGTTCCTGAGAGGACAAGTCATACGCCACTCAGGATCCCTCCAGGGGTAGAGGGAGGCAGGGAGAGGGAGACAAGGGCAAGAGCCTTGTGGTAGATTACACACAGAGGAGCAGGCTAAAGTCCATGGGCTTGGGCTTGCCTAATTCAAATAGTTTTGGAGGGTGGTGGGGCATAATGTATGCCCCAAGTTGCCTAGAAAATGGTCTGGAGAGATTGAGATAATTGGAGAGGAGATGGGAGTGTTGCTCAGTGGTGAGTGTTAACCTAGCATACTTGAGGCTCTGTATACTGTTCCCAACACTGCAAACAAAAATAAAGCATAAAAAAGATGACTTGGAAGCTGGACAATGCTGTGCATGCTGGTTAGAGCCCAGCTACCCACAGGCTGGGGCAGGAAGATTGTTAAAGGGCAGCCTGTTCAGCAGAGAGAATGTTTTATTTTTCTGTTCATCTACTTACTTATTGTTTTATTTATTTAGAGAGAGGGTCTCATGTAGCTAGGCTGGCCTTAAACACTATGTAGTTGAGGATGATCTTGAATTCCTGATCAGTGCTAGGAATGAGATGCCTCTAGCCTCCATGAGCACCTGCACTGGCATGCAAAAATCTCAGACACACACACACACACACACACACACACACACACACCCCTCTACATAATTTAAAATAAAAACAATCTCTAAGATACCACCCCAAGAGATTTGAGGGACGGTCAATGGTTAAGAGCCCTTGCTGCTCTTCTAGAGGAGTTAGATATGATTTCCAGCTCCCACATGGCGCCTGGAACTCCAGTCCCAGGCAATCTGACAACCTCTTCTGACCTTCTTGGGTACCAGGCACACACACAGTGCACAGATATTTGCAGGCAAAACACCCACACATAAAATAAGTTTACAAATAAAGCAATGAGGGGTGGTGAGGTGGTGATATGGGTTGCTACCAAGACCGATGACCTGAGTTCAGTCCCTAAGACTCATATGATGGTATGAGAGAATCAACTCCCATCGGGTGTCCTCTGTCTTACATGTGTCCATACATATAAACAATAAAATAGTGTAATAAAATATTTTAAAGCTTGAAAACATGGTAACAATACCCAAAAACTCTGCACACCAATTTAAAAATAAGTAAAAAACCCAAACATATAAAGAATGGGGCTTGCTGTGCACAAAATTCAGGGTTCTAGCCCCAGCACCATATAAACTAAGCATGGAGGTGGGTGCCTGCAATCCCAGAACTTTAAAAGTAGAGGCAGAAGAATCAGGTATTAAAGGCCTGGAGAGATCCTGTCTCAAAGAATACAATGAAATGGCTAGGGAGCAGCTTCTAGTGAGACCAGCCACATCAGCATGCTGTGGGGCTTGCTGGGCCAGATCCTGCCTCAATGAATAAAAGAAAATAAACCACAAGAGGCAGCTTGGCACAAGGCAGGTCAGGGCTGGCTCATGGGTACCTGGAGTATCCTTGTGAGCTGAACAGGTGTGAAAGGGGGTTCTCAGCTGCTTCTCCCAGACAGCCAGGGCTGCCAGGCTCTCATCACTAGAACTTCAGGAGTCTGACATGCAAAAGTGACTCCAGGAGAACCCTCACTTCAATCTAGGATGCTCAGGTAGTGCCCATACTTGCATCTTTGCTGATGGCCTCTAGGTCTCTGTTTTCTGGCCCTCCACCATGGGAGGACTGCTCACTTCATGAGCAGTGGTTTTGTTGTTCTTGCTGTTGAGAGGAGAATCTCATTATGCAGCTAAGATTGTTCTCCCTTGGCCTCTCCAGTGCTAAGATTTGTAGCATTTCTGACCCCTCCCCAATTGGTACAGCATTACATATTAGGCAAACACTTTACCACAGTCCTCTTTCTACTAAGGCAGATCTTCACTAAGTTGCTCTTAAACTCTCTGAACTCTGCAGTCCAGGCAAACCCTAAATTTGGACGTCTCAGCCTCCCAGGTACCAAACCCATGCAGTGTGTATGTGCTCTTGGATTGTGGGGGAAGACTTATAAATCTCAGGCTGGCCTTGAACTTCTAGTTTTTTTGCACCTGTATCGCCAAATGCACGCCTCCAGTTTTATTTAGTGGTAGCTATTAGAACCTCGATTCCCATGCATCTTCGGCTAGCACTATGAAACTCTATGTCCCCAGCCTAGAACTTTGTCTTTAATTCCCAGCCTTGTGGCGGGCCGATGAACATTTTGTCTTCTGCCCACACACCTGCACCTGCCTCTTGTCCAAAGCTACTGGCTTAGACTCCTTCTCCTCTTCCCCAGGAAGGCTGCTGGCAGGCTAAGCCCTGGTCTTCAAGTTGGGAAAGGTGATATACATTTTAAGGAACTCCCGCTGAGACTTGACCTCAGCAGGTATTGGGAAGAAATGGGCCATAGCCAGCCTGCTGGTTTGCCACGCTGCGTCTCCAAGCCAGCAGCCACGCGGAGCAGCGTCCCAACCCAGCCTCTCCCACCCGGATCCAGAGGCCTAGGAACCTGAGAAGCTCACGAGTCTGAGGGCTTGCACCCCCTCTGCCTTAAGACTGCAAGTTTCCTCCCCAACAGGTGGGTGGCTGAACTTGCAGCCTCCATCCAGGTGTAAGCTCCATCCAGAAGCCCCGCCTTATGCCACAGGCTCTTCTATTCAGTACTTCCCCTATTATACACCAGCATTAAATTCTATACATCAAACCCATTCAAATGTCCACCATCAAGTTCCACCCTCAAGTACTATTCCTCAAAACTCGCCTCCCACCCTAACACTCCCCCCCCCCCGCCGGTGCCATTCTCCAAACCTAGACTGCAGATTTCCATCTTGCCCTGGATGCTCTGAGCTCCATTCATTCAGCCAGGCCTTAAGCCTCACTTAACCTGAGGTTATGGGGTGGGTGAGGGGGTGTGGGAGGGGTTGCCCCGACTGAGTAGGACTAAATAGAGTCGGGGAAATAAGAAGTTCAGAGTGTGAGAAATAACCAGAGAGGACTGGGGTAGCCAGCCTCAGATGCGGGAGATAAAAAGTTAAAAGCAGTCAGTTGTGAGGTTCTGTGGCAGGTCCCACCCCCACTTCCCTGCCCGGACTGATTTCCTGAAACTCTTCTCCCCTATCCCCCCAAGGGTTCAAGTTAATGCTTTCCAAGTGAATGGTGTTTTGCTTACTGCAGACAGCAGATGCTGGTACCTGGATCCTGACTTAACATTTCCAATAGAGTGCTTCTTTCTTTTCAGAGCTCCGGTTGTAAAAACAGAAACAACAGAAACAACAAAACAAAACAAAAAAACCAAACCAAACCAAAACAAAACAAAACAAAAAAAAAACCAAAAAAAAACAAAAAAACAAACAGTTTTGTTAGGACGATTCACAATATAATATTGGGGAAAATTCACGTGTCTCTTACTGCCCTGTCGGAAGTGTACGTTTCCAGACAATGAGATGGCCTAAGGTGCCTGCCACTAAGCCTGATGACCTTAACTTGATTCCTGGGTCCCACTGATCCTCCAAAGTTGTCCCCAGATCTCCACATCCTCACAGTGCTTTTTGTGCTCTCAAAACCCAAATAAATACATTTTAAAAAGTGCATCATCAACTATAATTTTATTCAGCCATTAAAAAAATGAAATTATGAAATTTCAGAAAAATGGATGACCTGGAAAATGCATCATTAGGTGACCAGGGTTAGAGGGACTAACACTGCAGCTCCCTTTCCCACAGGGCCTCGGCTTTGCTCCAATGTTTGCATTTATGTGGGAGCTAGAACAGAGCAAAGCAAAGGCAAGAGGATTCCTTGGTTCAGTGGAGGAAGGCACCTGCTGCCAAATCAGACGATCCGAGTTCCATCCCCAGCACCTACATGGTGGAAGGAAAGAACAGATTGTTGACTTCTGACCCCACAGGTTTGCCATGGTACATGTGTATGCCTCCCCCCCCCCCCATGTACAAAGTAGTAAAACATTTAAAGCTAATAAAACAATTTTAAAGCCAGTTAGTTCTAAAGGGATCCATGAGAGGATGGGACTGAAAAGCTGCTAGGGGAGAGGGATAGGGACAGTGCTGGACCCCATATAATGAATGGTGGGAGGAGGCCTGCATAAAGTGGCGGCAACCTCAAGGCTCATGAGGCAGGTAACCTGGAGAGACAGATGCAAGCTAGGGCTTGGTCTATCTGTGGGAGGTAGAAGCCCGAGAGAAGTCTCAGAGAGCAGGAGAGGGAGGAGCAGAAGAAGGGAGGGAGGGAGAGGAGAGAGAGGGCAGGTCACTGCAGGGTGGGGCTCTGGCTATAAGGGTGAAGGCAGCCCACTGATCCCACAGGCTGTACACCCTGCAAGCAGGCACCAGCCCTCAGGATCACAACGGCACTGGTGAGTCCTCCTCTACCTGGAGCAAATCCCTTGTCACCTGCCCCTCTCTCAGAGGTTCCAGGCTGGCTTGAGACACCAATGTCCTTTGTCCTTCCCTTCACTTCCATAGGTGGCCCCATTAAACCTCCAGGCACCTGGACAGGAGATCTAGCCTGCACCATGAAACCGTGGCTCTTTGCCTGCCTGGTCGCCTGCTTCCTTGGGGCCTGGGTGCCTGTTGTCCATGTCCAAGGTACTGTCCTTAGCTATATTTCCCTTGGTTCAGTTTTCTAGATGTTGCTTTCTCTTCTCACTTGTCAAAATCTCCACTGATTGATTATATCCTTTGAATTCTTCAGCTGGTCTTGAGAAGTTGGGTGTAGCAAGAATTCCTGGCACTACTGGGGCTGGATGGATAGAGATGAAGGGTCCCCAGATGCTTATTCCAGGACCTCTCCCCTCCACTCTGGAGTGCTTCCTTTGCAAGACTCAAGGGGCTTGGGGGCTGCAGGAAGAAGAGGGTGGCTTCCAATTGGGGAAAAATGTACTTACAGGCAGGAATGCATTTTGATGTCCATGCTCTGCTGAGCTAGGGATGTGAGGTTGAGCTGGGAACCCTGGCGATCTTTGCAAGTGGATTCCTTGCCTTCCCTCCCTATGTAGTCTAACTGAGAGCCCAAGGTGGTTCTTTGTTTCCTCCTCTGCCAAGTACGAATGAAAAATGCAAGGATCCAGTGAAAAAACTCCCAGCCGGTGGTCAGGGAACCATTTCTGGCATCTTCCTTACCCTACTGGAAAGTTTGTAGTGGAGGATTCAGTCATGTAAGACCAGTTCGAAGAACGGAGCATCCCCACCCAGTTTTGCCACTGGGTGCTTCATCTCAGAAACACGGAGTCTCAGCAGGTGTCAAAACAAGGTTCCAGGCCAGGTGGAGGACTCAGGACCCTATTCTGCCTTGTCTGCTCCTCCGATAGGTCCTACAGGTCCAAGCTTGCAGCAGAGTATGCTTTCTGTCCAGGAGGGAGGCTTGGCTTTCTTTCCTCACAGTCTGCTATCAGAGCCAGCCCAGCCTCTGCCCTTTGATCCTGGGAGAAAAGTGGCCCCCAGTGTTGGAAAACACCTGCCAAGGATCCCTGGAGCCCCAATTCTTATCTAACAGCACTGCCCCTTGTCCTTAAGAGCCAATCTCAGATTTGACCCCCAGAAGCAAGATTTGGCAGATGGGACTCCCAGGTAACCTTGAAGGCTGGCTAGATTGAGGAATTCGCTGTCTTAACAACTTGTTTTGTTCATTTACTTCTCTCCTTTCCAGAGCTTTCTTGAATCATCTCTGTCTCCTTGGGCACCCCTCTGCCTCCCCTACCAAGGGTTAGGGTTAGGGTTTGGTCTGTGTTGACTGGATATTTGGTGCTTAGCAGAACTCTTTAAGCTTTCCTTAGGGGAACCAGCAAAGAATGGCCAGGTGGGTTTGGCAGTAGTAGATGAGTAGGGAGAGGAAAAAGGAACTTTAGTTGTTTTCATGTGGGGACAAGCCAGCTCATGGCTGAGCTCTTCAGAAAAGTTGAATAAAACTGTCTATTTATCCTAGTTACGTGCATACATCTATTTGCTTATTTTATGTGCATGTGTTAGACCTGTGTGTGACAGTGCCCATGTGGAGAAAAGAGGACATCTTGCAGGAATTCGTCCTCTCCATCTACTATGCGGATCCATAGGATCAAACTCAGGTTATCGGGCTTGGTGGCAAGTGCTTTTACCTCTCTGGCCCTGGATCTCTCTCCCTTTCTCTCTCTCTCTCTCTCCCTCCCCCTCTTTCTGTTGTTAGTTTTTTTTTTTTGTTTGTTTTTTTTAGATAAGGTCTCACTATGTATAACTCCTATCCAGGAACTCATTATGTAGACCAGACTGTCCTCAAACTCTTAGAAATTCTCCTGCCTCTGCCTCCTCAGTGCTGGGATTAAAGGAGTGCACCAACACATCCGGCCTTTGATTTTTTTTTTTTATTAAATTTGTTTTTGAGACAGGATTTCCCTGTGCTAGTCCTGGCTGTCCTGGAACTTGCTGTATAGACCAGGCTGCCCTGGAACTCAGAGATCTGCGTGCCTCTGCCTGCTGAGTTGGGGGATGAAAGGTGTGTGCCACCATACCCACCTAATTTTTAATATTTAAAATGAAGATAGGGCCTCATATATCTCAAGCTGGTCTCTAACTTGCTGCCTAGCAGGGGATGCCTTTGAAGTTCTGATTTGCCTGCATCCACTTGCCAGGTGCTAGGGTTCTAGGCATGTACCCCCCACACCTGCCTTAGGTAGTTCTGGGGCCTCATACAAGCCCAGGACCTCATACAAGCAAGCTAGGCGAACACTTTACCAACTGACTTACAGCCCTTGTCACAATTGAGGTGCTTTGAGACAGGGTCTCATGCAGTTCAGACTGGCAGGACTTACGAAAGTGCATGTGCCTCAATGTCTGGTTTTTAGGAGAGTAGGTCTGGGCTGGGTGCCCCCCAACTGTGCACCTGTTCTCAGAGCAGAAACAGAAAGCACAGAGGCTGTTTCTTTACCTACCTGCACTTCACAATTCCTGCCAGTGTCCTTACATCAAGAGCTGAGAGCAAGCCAGGAAGCTATGCTTCCTTATCTCCCACATACCCTGTTGACCTCTGTATCTAGAAGGTGTGCGTGCATGCGTGCGTGCATGCTTGTGTGTGTTTTCACATCTTTGGTTGTTCTTGCCAGCAATATGCCCCTGGAGTCATGGATGTGACTGGGCCATCTAGTAGCAGGTACCTTTTTGTGATTCTTTTTTGTTTGAGAATTTCATATCTGCAAATAGGTTTTGATAAAATCCATTCCCTAGTCTCTCTCCTTCACTATTCCCCCTAACCCCCCTGCCACTTTCCCCACCTGACTTCATGGTCTCTGTTTTTAAATCCCGAGTCCCCTTAATGCTGCCTGTAGGTATATGCCGAAAGGGCTGTCTATCAGAGCAAGGGTAGTCTTTGGTTTTGTGTTTCTTCGAGACAGGGCTTCTCTGTAGCTTTGGAGCCTGTCCTGGAACTGGCTCTATAGACCAAGTTGTCCTCCAACTCACAGAGATCCACCTGCCTCTGCTTTGCCAGTACTGAGATTAAAGGGGTATGCCACCAACGCCTGGCTGAGCAGGGTAGTCTTTCAGGGAACATGTCCTTGAAGTAACCTGGGCCTCTCCTAGCAACCATCAATTTCCAGCAGCTCCTCAGATAGAGATGAGACTTGATAAGCTCCTCCATCCACTCATGCTGGGATTCTGGCTGTCTTGATCTTGTGTGGGTCTGTGAACTCATCACAGCTGCTATGATTGATGTGTGCAATGACCTCATCACGCACCAAACAGACTGTCTCTGAAGATGCCCACTTCCTCTGAGTCTTACATTTTTTTTTTTTTCCCCTTCTTCTGAGATAATCCCTGGACCTTATGGGAAGGGAGTATGATATAGATGTCTCCTTTACAGTTAGGAATTCCATAGTCTCTTACTCTGAATGTTCAATAGTTGTGGGTCTTTGGGATAATTACCATCTACTACAAAAAGAAGCTTCCCTGATGAGGGTATAACTTATGAGTACATGGATAAGAATGCAGGGGACAGTTTATTACTATGTGTCCATTTATTAGGATAATAGTACTAGGTTCTCACTTAAGGCCTATGACCTAGTCAGCCACATCACACACACACACACACACACACACACACACACACACACACGCTACATGTGTATAAACACAGAAGATAATTTGTGATTCTCTCCCGTGTGGGTTCTGGGGATTGAACATAGGTGGCAAGCACCTTTACCCACTGAGCCATCTCACTTGTCTCTGTAGGTGGCTTTGAAGATTGCTGCCTGGGTTACCAATCCAGGATCAGATGGAATATTCTCCAGCGTGCTAGGCATTATCAGTGGCAGGAAGTGAGTGGAAGCTGCAACCTACGTGCTGTGATGTGAGCAGGACCTTTGGTGTTGCTGGGTGAGAGTCATGCATGCCTTAGATCCTCACTCCCTAACCTGGCACCCACCTTTCCACCTGCTGTAGATTCTACTTCCGCCACAAAGGCCCCGTGTGTTTGAACCCAAGGGACAAGGATGTGAAGATGGCGATGATAATCTTGAACTCTAGGAATAAGAGAGTTGACCATCCCCAGAAGAGCACCCCAGGTGGGTAAGACCCCAGCCAACGGCTCAGGGAGGAAAGCCGCTCAGCATGCTAACATGCTGCTAGCTAGTCCTCTTCAAAGAGTCAGTTGCTAGTGAGTTCGAGAATGTCCAGTTCATGTGTGTCAGCAGTCAACCTCAGGTATCCTTCCTCAAGAACTTTCCACTTTTTCTCCTCTCCAGTATTGGGCATTGAATCCAGGCCCTTGAATATGCTACACAAGTGTTCTACCACTAAGAAACATCTCTGTTCAGTGTGTGTGTGTGTGTGTGTGTGTGTGTGTGTGTGTGTGTGTGTGTGAGATGCGTGAGTACAAAGTTATGCATGTGGTGGTCAAATCTTTGGTTCCCCTCCTGTCTTTAATGCCCCGAGAAAGAATCTCTTACTGAACTGGAAGCTTACCATTTTTAACTAGGATGACTGGCCAGTGAACTCTTAGGCTATGCCAATTTCTATCCCCCAAACTAAAATTATAGGCATGTGCAGCCATGCCTCAGTAAATTTTTTTTTTCTTGGCCAGGTGGTGGTGGCACATGTCTTTAATCCCAGCACCCTCGAGGAAGAGATGGGTGGATCTCTGTAAATTTGAGGCCACTCTGGTCTACAGAGCCAGTTCTAAGACAGGTACATAAAGTCTGTCTCAAAAAAAAAAACAAAACAAAACAATTTTTTTCTTATTTTTTTTTTAGATTTTAATAATTACATCATCCAACCTGCCTACATGCATCTCTTGCCCTTCTCCAAATTCGTGGTCCCTTTTTTCATTAATTGTTGTTATGTAATACATAAATTCCTAAATACATGAATTTAACCCGAACAGTCTGTATAATATTACTTATATGTATGTTTCAGGCTGACCATTTTGTATTGGATAACCAATTTGTGTGCTCTTCCATGGGGAGGACCACTTCTCCCACTGGCAGAATGGGAATAGTCTAGGGCTGAGGACTCCTGGACTCCACCTGACCCCATCAACATTAGCATGTCTACTGTTGCAAACTTCCTGGTCCCCTGATTCTTAAAATCTATCTGCTTCCTCAGGGATGCCAGCATAAGTCCCAACCAGGCCCCCTGAATGTGGGGGTCAGTTGGGAAGCCTGGGAAGTCTATGGGACCTCTGGCAGTGAAACCAGTATTTATCCCTAGTGCATGAACTTTGGGAGCCCATTCCCCATGGAGGGATACTCTCTCAGCCTAGACACATGGAGGAGGGCCTGGGCCCTGCTCCAAATGATGTGACAGACTTTGATGATTCCCCCATGGGAGGCCTCACCTTCCCTGGGGGGGTGAATGGGGGATGAGATAGAGGGTTGGTGGGAGGCATGGGAGGACGAGAGGGAGAGGGAACTGGGATTAGTATGTAAAATGAGATTGTTTTTAATTTAAATAAAAAATAGAGGAGAAAAAATAAAACACCTTCTGGGCGATAGCATGAAGGAAAACAGTGGGATCTCACAGACCTAACAGATACAGTGGGGGAAGGAGCTGTTTTTGCATTCGTGTGCTAAGAAAGTTTTGGAATGAACATCCCACACAGAGCTGTGTAATACAGTTGTAGAACAGCAGGTTGTGACAAAAAAAAAAAAAAAAAAAAAAAAAAAAAGAGGGAACTATTTGTTTATTATATGTACAATGCTCTGCCTGCATGTATACTTGCATGCCAGAAGAGGGCACCAGATCTCATTATAGATGATAGTGAGACACCATATGGTTGCTGAGGATTGAACTCAGGACCTCTGGAAGAGCAGTCAATGCTCTTAACCTCTGAGCCATCTCTGCAGGCTTGTACTCCTTTCCTAACATTTTCTTCTCCCATTTATCCCATTTTCCTGGAGAGTTTCACTTTAATGTATACATTTCTACTTTAATGTATACAGACATGATTTTGTTAGGCTATATAAAATGTAGGAACCACAAATGAGAAAAATAAAATATTTGCCATTTTAAGATTGGCTTAATTGAAGCAAAACTTTAATCCCAGCACCCAGGAGGCAGAGGTGGTAGAATCTGTGAGTTCGAGGCCACCTGGTCTACAGAGCCTGTTTCAGGACAGCCATAGCTACCCTCAGAAACCTTATCTTAAAAAAAAAAAAAAAAAACTAAATAACTAGCTAACTAAATGAAATAAACCCATTTATTTTAATTTTGTATATGAATGTTAGCTTTTGTATATGTGTACAAAAAGTGGACTTGGTGTCCCAGGAGGCAAGAGAAGGGTGTCAGATCTCTGGGCACTGTGGTTAGAGATGGTTTTGAGCCATCATGTAGGTACTGGGAATTCAACCCCAGTCCTCTATAAGAGCAGCAAGTTATCTTAACCTCTGAAGCATCACTATAGCTCCTGATGGAACACTTACCTGTTTCTCCATTTTCCAACAGGCTCTCACCCTGAAAGGAAGAAGTCAAACCATGCAAAGTCCAAGGTGGGGAATCCCAGCAGAACCAGCATGAGGAATGTCACCTTAGGCCATTCTAGGTAAGGACTCTTAGTCATGTGACCTTCCTCCATCCATCCATCCATCCATCCCTTTGCTGACAGGGGTCTACCCCTAGGAGCAGGGAGCTGGCTGTAGGCTGTGTGGTCTCACCTTGAGATTCATGTGCAAGGATCCTCATTCATGTGTTTAACCCAGTTTAGGGTGTTCCAATAAATGCTAACTTGAGACACGAGGGAGGTGGGCCAAGAGCTAGCTGTTCAACCATAAGCAAACAGAAAGTGTCTTCTCCTCATTCCACTCACATTCACCTCTCCTCTCATCCTTTCCTTCCCTCCTCCTTTTCTCTTTCCTTAAAACAATATTTACATTGATTGAGTCAGTGTGTGTGTGTGTGTGTGTGTGTGTGTGTGTGTGTGTGTGTGTGCGCTTGCTTGCACAGACCATGTTTCAAGCTGGAGGTCAGAAGACAGTTTGCGGGAGTCAGTTCTCACTTCCCACAATGTGTGCTTCTGATGGAATGCAGATTGTCAGCCTTAATGCCCTTACTGCAGAACCATCTCTCTCTCCCTCCTTCCTCCCTCCCTCCCTCTCTCTCTCTCCTTTTCCCTCTCCCTCTCTCCTCTCTCTCTTTCCCCTTCCTATCTTCTTCTTCATTCTATTCTATGTTTTTCCCCCAAGCAGGTCTCATTTATCTCAGGCTGGCCTCAGACTCCCTGTGTAGCGAAGGATGCTCCTGAACTTCTGATTCTCCTGTCTTCACCACCCAAAGTGCTATGGTCACAGGCATGCACTAGCATGATGGTTTATGTAGAGCTGGAGTATGGAATACCAGGCTGATCCTTAGTAAGAACAGTAGACACTCTTAATTGTTGAGCTATCTCTCCAGCCCCATAAGAAAGTCCGTCCTTCCTTCCTTCCTTCCTTCCTCCCTTCCTTTCCATCTCCTATTTCTTTCTGCTACAGGGCTTGAATCCAAGACCTTGTGCATACTAGGCTAGCAAGCACTCCTCCTAGCACTTGTATTTTTAATGATTTATTTATTTTTATTTTACGTGCATTGGTTTTCTACCTGAATGTATGTTTTGGTAAGGCTGTCAGATCTTGGAGTTACAGACAGTTGTAAGCTGCCATATGGGTGCTGGGAAATGAACCTGTGTCCTCTGGAAGAGCAGTCAGTGTCCTTAACTGCTTAGCCTTCTGTTCAGCCCCCTAGCCTTTTTATAATTTATATTTTGAGGTAAGGTCTTACTAAGTTGCCCACTTTATAAAGCCTTGAATTCATTCTGTGAATCCAGCTGAGGCTGGATTTTAGCTTCTTTTACCCCAACCTCTAAGATACCTAGAGTTGCAGGCATATGCCACCGTGCTTGGCTTCAATGTAACACACACACACACACACACACACTCATATGAGTGCACTTGGGTATGTGTGTTTGATGGGGGCTGTCCTTCTGTGTGCTGTGAATCTATGTTTCTCTTATTGATTGTTAATTAATGCGATTGGCCAGTAGCCAGGCAGAAAGTATAGGCAGGGCTATCAGACTAGGAATCCTGGGAAAAGGAAGGCAAAGAGGAGTTGCCAGAGAGATGCCAAGTAGCTGCTGGAGGATTAATATGCAGAGCATTATGGGGAAGCCCCAGCCTCATGGAAATACATAATTTAATAGGAATGGGTTAATAGTTAAGAAAGAGCTAGCCAATAAGAAGCCTGAGTCATCGGCCAAACAGTTTATAATTAGTATAAGTCTTTGTGTGTTTATCTGGGGTAAACAGTTGTGGGACCAGGTGGGACAGCAACCTGGTCTTCACTTCTTTCTCCCCATCAAGTGGATCTCGGAGATCAACCTCTGGTCACCAAGCTCCATGACAAGCCACTTTGCTTGCTGAACCATCTCACTAGTTCTCAACACGACACATCTAGTGTCAGACCTGAAAGAGGAGGTTCCTCCTGAATCTAGAAGATGCCAGTAGGGTGTCAGTTCTGACACTGTCTATGTGCAGATTGCATCTGGCTCCACAGGTTAAGGACACAGCTATATGAGACTGACCCCTTGAAAAGTCAAACTCCCAGACTCTCAGTTTTCCCATCTGTAGGAGGGGAAAAACACTAACACTGTCTATTTCACAGAATGATGATGACCAGAAAGATCAACAACTAAGTTACTCAGAGTGAGCACCAGCTGGCGGATGGGAGGAGTCTCCTGAGGTGCCATCTCCTGGGCATGATGTGGCCACTGAACTCATGAAGCCAGTTACCAGTGCCTGACTAAGCAATGTTTCAGCATGGATGAGTGAGGGGCTCACAGGGCCCCACCCCTCACTGAGGAGCTACTGGCTGTTGATTGCTGGGGGAGGGGAGTCTTTTTTTTATCCCCAGTATATACTCCACCACCCATGTCCATGCAAGCAACCCCAATTAAATGCAGTCACACACACACACACACACACACACACACACACACACACACACACACGGTATGGAAGTAGGAAGAAGGCATCCAGTGGGAGAGAGGGGACTAGAGGAGGATGGGTGTGTGTGAAAATGGTCAAAATGTATACATATGTGAAATGGTCAAATAATTGAAAAATAAAAACATTTAAAAACCATTAAAAACTAATTACTTGAGCTTGGTGGTGGTGGCACACAACTTTACCCAGTGCTCAGAAGGTAGAGACAGGCAGATCTCAGTGAGTTCCAGGACAGCTTGGTCTACAGAGTGAGTTCCAGGACAGCCAGGGTGACAGAGAGAAACCCTGATTCAAATAACAACAAAAACCTAATTACTCACAGTGATGTCTGGTATGTGGTGTGATCTCAGGAGGTTAGTGCCAGTACTTCAAGTTTACCTTCTATAAATCAGGGTTCCTGTATCCCCCTCTTTTTATTCAGCCACTTTTGCTAGAGCATCAGCTCCCAGGACTCAGGGAAGCACTTTTCTTATATGTGTTGGTTATTCTATTGAACATTATAAAGGCTATGGATGATCTGGGATTGGTGTTGTTGAAGGAGTCTATCTTAGAGTTTCTATTGTTGTGAAGAGACACCATGACTACAGCAACTCTTATAAAGAATAATATTTAATTGGGAGGCTTACAGTTTAGAGGTTTAGTCATCATGGCAGGACATGGCTGCATGCAGGAAGACAGTGTTGGAGAAGGAGCTGAGCATGAAGGAGCTACATCTTGATCCCAAAGGCAACAGGTAGTGAGCTATGCCACTGGGTGTAGCTTGAGCATATAGGAGACCTCAAAGCCCACTTCCACAGGGACACACTTCCTCCAATAAGGCCACACCTCCTAAGAGTGCCACTCCTATATGAACTTAGAAGGGACAATTACATTCAAAGTACCACAGAGTCTAAGGCAGGACAATGACAAGTTTGAGGCCAGCCCGGGCTGCAGTGAAAGTTTGGGGCTAGTCTGGGATACACAGCAAGGCCCTGACTCAAAATACAGACAAACAACAAACAAATAAAAGCCAAACCAAAACAGGACTCAGGAGATGACTCAGGGATAAAGAGTTTTCTATGTGAGTGTGAGGGCCTAAGTTCAGATCCCCAGAACCAAGCAAAACTGGGTATGATAGTGTTGTCTGTAACCCCAGAACTCCCATAGTAAAACTGGGGAGACAGGAGAACCCCAAGAAGACCAGCTATGGCTGTAAACAGCAGTGAGCAAGACACCCTGAACTGTGTGAGATGAGGGCTGACACCTGAGTTTGTCCCCCAGCCTCCATATTCAACCTGGAGGGAGGCTCCTTAGATTCACAAATTCAGTGGCTTACAAGTGCCAGAAGTTCCTCACACTTATTAGAGGAGCTTATATAAGCAGTAGTGAGGACTGCTGAGGAGAGGAGACTCCAGTTTGTAGGTCTTGCAGAGTGTGCTAGGATTGCAGGGCACTCAGGCCAGGATGAGCAATCGGTGATGCAGCTACCTTTGAGTCAAACAGGTAAGTAAGTCCTCACTCATGCTGCTGCAAGTAAGCCCTCACTCATTTTGCTGCAAGTAAGTAACCCCAGTAAACCCATTGGTTTGTCAAGTTGGACTTTGGTGGCATTGTTACTTTGATCTCTGGGGTGAGTAGATGTTTGCTCATGTCTCCCCAGGGAAAGTGTCACACGCAGGGATGCACCACCTTCCTGGCACACTAGTATGTTTATCAATCTGGAAACTCTTTGAGCTCACAGTTCAATATTTTTATGGAGGTGTTTCCACATAGCATGATAGATTATTAACTTCACTTTCAACCCTTCTTCCCTGTTTGGAGCTTGAGGGGTAGAACAGAAGTCTACTCAGTGGCTTACTTTTCCTTGTGACCAGCCCTTGACACACTCAGGAAATTCAGCGGCATACAGGAAATCCAGAGATCTTTGGAGCTCTGTCAGAATTTGGGGGCTAAAGACCAACTATTAGAACAAAAGTTACTTCTAGGCCAGGGACATGGCTCATTTAGTAGAGTTATTGTGTAGCATTAATGAAGTCTTGGTTTTTATCTCATACCTGCATATGAGTGTGGTAACAGTGCTCGACCATCATCCAGCACTGAGGAGGTGGAGGCAGGAGGATCAGTAGTTCAAGCTCTTCTTTAACTATAGAGTTTTGTTTTTTTGGTGGGGATAGTGTAACGAGTATGGGTTTTTCCGCCTGCCGCCTGGTCTTGTTCTGCCGCCACGCCAGCCCCAAATAACGCACAGAGACTCTGTATTTGATATTATACTGTTGGCCAGTTACTATTTTCTTATCGGCTAGCTCTGTCTTAAGTATTAATCCATTTGTGTTAATATATGTATTTCCACGTGGTCTTACCGAGAACTGAGGAATGTCAGTTCTGTTCTCTCCAGGCTCTCCCTCTTGACTCTTCCTCCTTACTTCCTATTTCCTCCTTGTCTCCTAGTCCCTCCTATCTTCCTTTCCTATTGGCCAACAGTGCTTTATTCATTAACCAGTATGAAACATATATACAGAATGACATCTCCCATCATCTCTTCTTTTCTGTCTAAATAAAAAGAAGGGTTTTAACCTTAACATAGCAGAATATATCACAAAACAGTTATTAAATAAGAATCACAGTTAACACTATTTAGTCCATTAACATTTAGTCGGTAAGACCACGTGGAAATACATAGAAATGGGTTAATAATAAAGACAGAGCTAGCCGATAAGAAACAAGTAACCAGGCCAACAGAATTATATCTAATACAGAGTCTCAGTGTGTTATTTGGGGCTGGCGCGGCGGCGGGACAAGACTAGGTGGCCGGGCAGAAAAACCGTACACCTTACAGGGTAGGTGGATGGGTGGGTAGGTAGGTTGGCTTGTTTGGTATTGTGTGTGTGTGTGTGTGTGTGTGTGTGTGTGTGTGTGTGTGCTTGGAATAGAACTTAGAGCCTTGTGCACCTTATCACTTCACTGAGCCATTCCAAGCCCTCAACTCAAATCTATTTTGGTTTCTTTTTGAGACAGAGGCTCATGTAGCCCAGGCTGGTCCTGTACTCATTGTGTAGATGAGGATGCTCTTGCCTTCACCTCCTCAGTGCTGAGATTGTATATGGGTACCACCACACTTAGTTTGTGCAGTGCTGGAGATGGAACCATCACTTCTGCTCCTGGTGTGTTTTGTGTGTGTGTGCACATGTGTGCATGCTTGTGTATGTGTGTGAAGACTAAGGGTATTGCTCCTCAGGACACTATCTGCTTTGGATTTTTGTCACTTTAAAAAATAAACCACATGATATTTTTACTAACTTTTGAGAATTCCATACAAACATACAATGCATTTTGATCATATTCATCATCCATTTAACTTCTCCAAGACCCAGCCTCTCAACTTTGCCCCTCAACACTCTTTTCCTTTTCCTTTTTAAAAAATTTGTATTTTCCGAGTTCCTTTGTTATAAAGAATAACAGAGAATTAAGAAATTGTTACTGTGAATCTCTGCACAGACCTTTAATCCCAGGACTCAGAGGGCCGAGGCAGGCAGATCTCCATGAGATTAAGGACAGTCTGGTCTACATAGCAAGTTCCAGCCCTTCCTGGGCAGCATAGTGAGACCCTGCCTCAAAAAATTATCAAATTATAAAGTGTGTGTGTCACAGCACATGAGTAGAAGTCAGAGGGAAACTTGCAGGAATCAATTCTCTCCTTTCACCATGTAGGTCCTGAAACTCAGCCTTGATGGCAAGTGCCTGCTCCCTGAGCCGTGTCATCAGTTACCCCTAGTCCTGATTTTTATTGAGATGGAGGTCTCCCATTTGTCCAAGGGATCACCAATTATGTTAGACTGGCCACTGAACCCTTGCCCTGCCTCCTCAGTGCTAAGATTTCAGGGGCATGCCACCTGCCACTGTGACTGTTTTTTTTTTAAAGTGTGGGAAGTATGGGTCCTAGGGATCAAATTCAGGTCCTCATTATTGCCTGACAAACACTTTACCAACTGGGTCACCTCTCTAGCCCTATTTTTTGTTTTTGAGATAGCAATTCACTGTGTATAGGCTGGCCTTCATCTTGGGACCCTCCTGCCTCAGGTTCTGTATATGGAAGTTTCTGTCCTGCCGGGTCCTGCAGCTATTCAGTCCAAAATAAACACACAGAGACTTATATTAATTACAAACTGTTTGGCCTATTGTTCATTTTACTACTAACTAGCTCTTACAACTTAAATTAACGCATAATACTTATCTATGTTTAGCCACATGGCTTGGTACCTTTTCTCAGTAAGGCATTCTCGTCTTGCTTCCTGTGGGTCTGGCTGGCTACTGTGTCTCTGCCTTTCCTCTTCCCAGCACTCTCCTAGTCTGGTAGCCCTGCCTATACTTCCCGCCTGGCTACTGGACAATCAGTATTTTATTAAAACAATACAAGTGACAAATCTTTACAGTGAACAAGAGCATTATCCTACATCAAGGTTCCTGACATATTTTACCGTGAAATTCCCCAGACTGGCCTGGATCCCATGTGAGTTCCCTTACCTAAAGATCTGCTCTCTAGTGTTCATAACAGTCTTCATCCTTGGGGGATGACCCCTGTAGGGTAGATGTGGACCGATCTTGGACCATTGCTCTCTCCTTCTGTTGATAAAATAGGACAACTAATATATGTAGTGCTGGTTTTAGCCCAGAACTTTGGTGCATACTAGACAAGCACTCTACAACTGAGTTACACCCTGCACTCTCTGTCCACATGTATTGATTTATTCATTGTTGTTGTTGTAGGATGGTGGTGGTGAGTGTGCATAGTTCAGAACACAACTTGGGGTGTGGGGATTGACCTCAAGAAGTCATTTTTTGCATGGCAAACACTTTGCTGACCCCTTGCTCTAAATCTTTTTTTTTTTTTTTTTTTTTTTTTTTAACAGTATCTCACTGTGTATCCTTGGCTACACTGGAACTTGCTGTGTAGACCAGGATGGCCTTGA